CATTTATCTTTCTGCATTTTATTTTTATCGCATTTTCTATAATGCATTTCGAATTACCTTTGTGTTTGAAAATATGTCATACAAATAACTAGACTCGACAGAGGTAATAAGCTTCTAGGGATTACCTCAGCCCTGGTGTGAGGACTCTTCAGCCAATCAGTCCTCTAATTAGTAATCTAGTTAGGCAGTTGCCACGAAAACCCACATACAGTACACACCGGCCCTTTGCGTATAAGATTGCCTGCGCCTGGCTTAGGGTAACTGGTGTCTCAAAATTGCCCATAGATAATGAGCTTGTGCTTGTATTTGCACTGTGAGGGACTGGTGTCCTATCTAGGGAGTACCCCAGCCCTGTGCCCAATGCTGCCTAGGATAGGTTCCAGCCACCACCACATGATGCCAATCAGAATAAGTGGTTAGAAGAAATCAGCAAGTTCCTTCTGCATGATGATTTCAGCCTGCATGGGCTCTATCATGCCTTTTGCTTAGCATGCCATTACCTAGAAAAGAAGGACCCAGACACGTTACAGTGCATATATTAAGCTGAAATGGCATATGGGGAATGAAGGGACAGTAATCAATGCGAAAGCCAGCAAAATGCCTTATGTTCTGTGTGCATTTGAGATTTGATACGCCTTATATATCTGCTTAGTGAATATTTAAAAGATGTAACTCATCAGTCCACCATAAATATTTTGAAAATGTCTTTTATCTGATGCAGATAAAGAAGCAGGTTTATATTTTATTCCGTCACTATGTTCCTGTCCTCTGATATTCTCCTATATGCAGTACACAGTGTGGGACAGTGTGGTGTTTATGGTCTGCATAATGTATATGGTCATGTAACTGTATTGTTCATGCTTTTCTTACTCATTAAATATAATGATCAAACACTGTATTTGCTGTCATCTTTTGTGGCACGCGCAGATACCCCATTTCTTTACAAAGTCATATCTATACACTATATCTATAGATACCACCTTATATAATTTAAATGCCTTCTTTTCCTTGTTTTTTCATATTTCGAGTCCTGCTAATCATAAACTGATATGTCCTAATCATCAGGACATGTGTTCAGTCTCAGGCAGAGCGTAGTAAGTTCATGGAGACCTGCCTGCCTCATCTTATCACCCTGGGTATCTTGGCCATTTATGCATCTTTTGATGTTGTATCAGCACGTTTCAGCTCAGACTCCTCCCTGCAGGCTCTCAGAAACAGCCTTTCTATAATGTACCTCATTGTTCCTCCTATCCTGAACCCTCTTGTTTATGGTCTGAAACTGAAGCAACTTCGTAGGATTGTGTGGAGAAGGTTCAACAGCAAAATTACTGCACTGAAATAACCAAGGGTGGCATGGAGGTTCATGGGGTCAGACTGTCACCTCTCACCGCCACGGTTGGTGATTAGAATCTCTGTTATCTGCTTTCTGTGTGTGGAGTTTGAATTGTCTCCCTGTGTTGTGTGGTTTCCTCCCACAGTCCAAGATCTGCCCTCAGGGTAACTGGTGTCTGTAAATGGCCTAAGGTTTATAAGCCAGTGCATGAATGTTCCCTGTGAGGGATGGGTGTCCGATCTAGGATGCACTCTGCCTTTTGCCCTATGACGCCATTAGCTTAGTTTAGCTTTTGCTAGAAAATAAATTACTAGATATTTCACACTCTCCCAGTGCACACCACCAATATGAACACCTGATCAATGGCCAATAATCAATGTAAAATGCAGCCTTTTATATGTGTTAGTTGAATTAAAAAAAACATCAGTGCACAAAAAAAACCTTTAAATGCAATTTACCAGATGTAGAAAATAAAACCATTTAATCTTTTATTACCTAACCATATTTCTGTCTTCTTCTTTACTTAACTATGCTGTATGACACTTACTTCACTAGGTTTGGACAGAGAGGCAGCAACTGGTGAGTCAAGATTAGGGCCGCAGAAAATGCTGCGAAATCCTTTTCTAAGATTTGAATGCAGTCTAACACCTGATAAGAGCATTATTACCTGTCTTTCCATCACTGCCTTGCTGGCCACTTGGGGGGACCTGCTCATGATCCAGTGCTGGATGAGCGAGTCTCCCGATGGCATCAGGACATAGGAGACGGGCTTTAGCTGGTGAGGCCTGGGACCCCTGCTTCTGAATCCTCCATGTTAAGGCTTTACAATTTACAGTATCAGTCAAAAGTTTGGACACGCCCAGCCACCCACAAAGGAGAGTGATAGCATGTCACGTCACATGACCTGGTCGTCTGACCTAAACACAGCAGAAATAGTTTTGGAGGAGTTTGACTGAAGAGAGAAAGAAAACTGGCCAATGAGTTATTATACTAATGTTTTTAATAATTATTTGAATAAAAATTAATATCCTATATTTTACAATAGTTTGGCGTAGTGGTGGTCTAATGGTTATGGAAGCGCACTTGTGATTGAAAGGTTGCTGGTTTGAATCCCCGACCAACAACGTACTACCCCCAAGCTGCTCAATTAGCTGTTACCTGCCACCTGACATCACATATGGGTTATATGCAGAGGACAGATTTCATTTTTGTGTGGTGTGTCACCAATGAGAAGTTTTCACTTCACTTAATTTCACCTCTGTCCCTGAAACTTGCAAAATATCATGTCTGGGCCAGGAGTGGAGATCATGCGATTTCTGGCCCCACAGTGGAGGTCATATGATTTCCAGTCCTGTGTTGGACATCCTCTCGTTCTGCAGACAGATCTTTCTCATCATAAACCAAAATAGAATGTCTTTGAATAGTATTCTTTTGACATTAATGTGGCGTTAATGTGGACATATGTATCTGATCTACTGCTTGAAGGCCTGTGCTCTTCTTGTGAATGGACCACACCTGTGCAATTTCCCTGCAGAGCTAATTAGGAAAATAGTTGTCATGTTATTCTGGGTGTCACTATGGAGTCACGTCATTTTTTTGTGACATAGCATAGTAATTACTGAAGGCAAACAACAGAATCCAGAAACATATAAAGGCCTACAGGTCTGCTGAACTGACAGAGGCATCAAACAGCCATACAGAGGAGGACATGGTAATACTACAGTATGTAATCTGGCAGAGGTTAATGCATCAGACAATTAGAACGGGATCCTTCTGAATCAATCCTATAGGGAGATAATATGACAAGAGAAAAGTCAGCTCTTATCTTGACTGTACAGCATTGTGGTTCTTCTGAGCAGGTCTGTTAGCCATGCTCACCGTGCAAGCCAGACCCAGACGCTCAGTTAAGAAGAAGCTCCGTGTCTGTGAACGCCACGTCAAGTCAGCACAGATGGAGAATTCTTCCAGTGAACTTGTTTTTGTGCTCCATGGTTTGAATGAGACTAAAACAAAGAGACAGATCTTTTTTGGTCTTTCCATTCTTGCCTATGTTTTCACCATTTTTGTGAATCTGACTCTGATTGTGACCATATTTCTAGAAAGAATTCTCCATGAGCCCATGTTCATATTCCTGTGTAATCTGTGTGTAAACGACATTTGTGGCTCTACAAGTTTCTATCCAAAGCTACAGATTGACCTTCTGTCAGACTTTCACTTGATCTCATACTCTGCATGTATAATTCAAATATTTGGAATTTCCACATATTACCTTTGTGAACTGAGTAATCTAACAGTAATGGCTTATGACAGGTATGTTGCAATATGCAAACCGTTGGAGTATCACTCTATTATGACGCCTCGGAAAGTACAAATGTTGGTACAGATGACTTGGTTCTTATCGCTCATTGCAACCATTGTTGGGATTGTGATTATAGTCAGGCAGCCCATGTGTGAATCCAGGATTGAGAAGCTTTATTGTGTGAACTGGGACATGGTGAAGCTGTCCTGTATAGAGACCATATTAAACAAGTTATATGGCTCCTTTCTCATCGTTTTTCACTTGCTTCAATTTATGCTAATCATAACCTCCTACATCCTAATCACCAGGACATGCGTACAGTCCCAGGCAGAGCGTAATAAGTTCATGGAGACCTGCCTGCCTCATCTTATCACATTGGGTACCTTCGCCATTTCTCTTTCTTTCGATGTTGTGTCAGCACGTTTCAGCTCAGACACCTCCCTGCAGGCTCTCAGAAACAGTCTTTCTATAATGTACCTCATTGTTCCTCCTATCCTGAACCCTCTCATTTATGGTCTGAAACTGAAGCAGCTTCGTAGGATTGTATGGAGAAGGTTCAACAGCAAAATTACTGCACTGGAATAACTAAGGGTGGCACGGTGGTTCGGGGGGGGGGGGTCACACTGTCGCCTCACACCTCCAGGGTTGGGGATTAGAATCTCTGGGGATTAGCTCTCTGTGTGAATTTTCTCCCTGTGTTGCACGGTTTTTGATCTGTCCACCTGACTGAAAAAAGCTGTGAATGGGAGCTCAGAATACATGTGGGACCTCCCTCAGGACAGCTGGAAAGGCATCCCAGGAGGCCACCTCATGAAACCGGCATAAAGGAGACAATAGGGTCAGCCAGTCCCTGGAATAACTGGGGATAAGAGCCTTGCTCAAAGGCGCAATGGAGGCACCCCTCTGCCGACCCAGGGAATTGAACCAGCAACCTTCTGAGTCCCGACGCCCTACCCTTCAACAAATTATTTTTTCAATACTTTTTTGGTCAGTGCATAATCCATATATGTGCTTTTATTGTTTTATATCTTTAGAATTATTCTAAAATGTAGAGAACGGTACATTATATGTATAGGTGTGTCCAAACTTTTGATTGGTACTGTACATTTAGGATAACTGGTGCCTCTAAATTGCCCGTTGATTATGAGCCTGTGCATATATGTGCCCTGTGTACCCCAGCCTTGAGCCCTTAACAGGATATGCGGTCAGATGAAATAACACTTTCTTTCTACTGCTTGATGATTTTGGCCTGTGTGGTTTCTACAGTATAACGCCTTTAGCTTATATTGACTTTTACTAGAACAGAAGTAGCCAGACATTTTACCGTGTCCTAGTGCACATAACCAGTAGAAATACCTGACGAGGTGTGAAGGGCCAATTATCAATGCAAAACCCAGCAAGATGTCTTGTGTTAAATGTGTATTTAAGATTTGATGTGTCTTGTATATTTGCTTAGTGAATATTTACGAAAACTACTCATTAGTGCACAAAATCTAAATGTCTTTAAAATGTGTCTTTTATCTGATTTAGAAAATGAATCATACTCTATCCCCTCATCATGGTTCTGTACACAGGTTTTCTCATGTACGCAGTACAAGGTTCAATGCAGTTGCTGCCACCTCCTCGCAGTGCAATGCTCCTGGTGTCACATTAAATTGCCAGTTTCTGGACAAATGAACACAATCAGCTTTAATGTTTATTGGACAATGAAGAAACAGACATTGGGGTCACCACATACCTTTATACTGTACATAAAAAAAAATAAAAAAGTTCTGCAGGAAATGTGCAGGCTGTTCCCTTCTTAGCAACAAAAACACAAATGGAACAAGTTACTTTTTTCCTGCTTGATGATTTCAGTCTACATGGTCTCTCTAATGCCTTTAGTTTAGCTTTGCATTTGCCTGACTGGAAGTATACAAACATATAACTGGCAGACGAGGCCAATATCAATACAGAAGCCAGAAAGGAGCCAGGCATCTAATGCAATATTTGTAGTAGTTTTGGTGCAGAGACAAACTGGCCCAGGAATGCTGTCAACACAGAAAATTCAGAATGACTCAAAGCTCCCGAGTGAATTACTTAAAACCATCCAAACCCCCCTGCAGAATTCACTAAACAGGTGAGTCCCAACATCCAGGGTGTGGTACAACACAATCAGAACAGGAACACAACTTATGGAGTTGGGGAGAAACTGCAGTCCCGTCGCCTACCTCTCTCCAGAACCAGATGGGCCCAGAAGAACTTTTCATCATAATATGGTCGCAGAGGCCTACAATGAACTTCATGTCACACAAACACATAACCTGTACCCTATAAACAGGGAGGGATTTGGTACTGGGGCGAACTATGTTGCGACGTAGGCACTGGAACAAATGTCTTGGTTGTTGCTTAGACTGGTGGACAATAAGCAAGGAGGTGAAGGCAGGAAATCACCAGGTATGGGCTGTCCAGGGACCAATTCAGCCAACCAGGACTGATGGTCATCCTTGGGAGTTGTCCCGAGGCCCAACAAGACCCACGGAAGCCTGCACAATGTTAAACACACACCTGTACCAGCCCGTTGGGACAATACGCCTCAGGTGACCTGTCGAGATTTCACACAGCAGCACGTTTCCCACATCACTACAAGGAGCATCCTCCAATCTCAGGTCCATCACTGCAATTCTGTAGGCCTGAATGTCAGAGTTAGAGACATAGTCAGCTGGCACAGTCGATGCTCAAATGGACCATGCCAACCACTGAATACAAGACACAGTAAGGCACCGGGTTTCTCTTCCCTGCCATGTTTTCGGTCATTCTGTACTGACCGCTGTTCGGCGAACAAGCAGGAAGCGGGGAAGGACGAGGCAGGCAGGCGAGGATGCAGGAAAGCGGGGTTTTATTAGGGTAAAGACAGGGCAGACGGCAACGAACATCAGTGACGGATCTGGGGGAAACGGACTCAGACGCGGACTAAATACACAGGACAAGCCAAAAATAATAGGCAACAGGTGATCACAATCGGGAATTAACACGAGGTAGCGAGGGGGGCGTGGCACACAGGAGGATCGGACGAGCAGGTCATGACACATTATATAATGGTAGATGCTATTTTGACAGGATTTTCAAAAAGCTGTTCTGGTACTGTATTCTGCGTATCGGGTATTAGCAATAAAAATTGTGGTGAAATCCAAACAGTTTCCAGGCTGCACTTTTCGGGTTTTCAAAAGTTACCTAAAATCGTCACATTCTTCTTGTGAATCACACATTATATTATTAATTTATTTCTAGCTATTTTCAGCCAATCTGGCCCACTGAATAAATTTACAGCATGTCTGCCCCTAGTGGAGGATCCCTTATTCTACATTAAGCAGCAAAGGCCATTTGGCAGAACAAAATTGAGGAAACGCACGTTTGATGACTACTACTGTAGCTGTCATGTCTGAAGTGGCCGGAAGGAGCAATGAAACCCTAAAAGCAGCCTTTTTCTCAAGGAAATCCCCAAAGGGGACTTTATTATAGGGACTTTAACCGTGGTTTGGTCCTTACAAGGACCTGTAGATAATTCAGGCAAGCAACTGGAAACATTGACAGGACTGGGGAACATAGTATGAAGAAGCACATATATACAAGTCTAATGGTGCTTATACAAGAGATAGGGCCTGATGACCATCCAGACATAATGGGAAACGCTTGGGGCAACAAAACGGGTGATCTTAGACTGGCCATTAGCGCCCTCTGTTGGCCACATGGAGACAGGCAGAAGCAGGTTGTGACAACAGCAGCCTAAAACAAATCCTCGAAATTCGAATGTGGATTTTTAGTGTGGAATATGTAAATATTTTTTTAATTTTAATTTTAATTTAAAAAAGTTTGACCTTCCAGGCCTATTCCACAAAGGCAGTGAAAAAAAATGCCACACTGCCAGATACAGACCAAGGACTTAGCATTCAAGTGTTATATTTGTGCTCATTTATGATGGCAATAGGGAAGCAAGTCATTCAAACAAGAACCTGAGGTGCAGCAGATGCTTGACCGTGTCGGCGCTGGGAACTAAAATGTCATCCAAATAAACTAAAGAGAATGAGGGGTCTTTCAACACACTGCCCATTAGGCAGTGGAATATCTGAGCAGCTTTTTGAGCCCAAATGGCATATTGGGGGACTCAAAGAGCCCAAAAGGGTAATCATCCATGATCTTAGGACACCCTGCGGATGATCCAGAACCTGATGATATCCACCAGGTTTATCTCAGGAAAGATCTGAATGTGACAAACTGGCTAGCAGCCAGGGACTGTGGCATCGTTGAGTCAACCACACAGATGCCACCCTCCAGCAGGCTTCTGGATGATACACAGCAGCAACACCCAGGTGTTTTAGGACCTCCAAGTAAATCTGAGGTGCAGCCCACATAAAGATACCAGAGAAAAATTAACTTCAATAACAAGTNTCAAGTGGCACAAAATGTTAAAAGCTGACTGTACTGTAATAATTGTAAAAGAAGCAGGTTAACAGAAGATCATTTTCAGAACAGGGAACAGGCCTTCAGATCAGGTCAAGGCAAAATACAGTGAAGAAAAAGAAAACAAGACTTTTCCAGCTAAGACTAATAACCAACAGCCATGTACCTTCCACAAAATAATCCTTGTCTGGGTCACCAGCAGTCTAGTCCAAGTAGCATACGCCACAAGTCAGGAATACTCCCCCTGGAGGCGATATTAGTGCATAGCAGGAAACATGCACACGTTCGTATTAATATCTTTGTGGGGTCTATCTATGACTTTCTATGGGGGTAACCTTAATCCCAACTATAACAATATACCCAGCCCTAATTATAATCATACGTAATCAAACCAAATGCAATCATTTTCATTGCCTTTACAGGTTTTTAAAAAGTCAGTTTCCCTTTCTGGGGGCTAAAAATGTCCTGACAAGGTCAAATTACCAGCTACTTATCATATTTTTTTGGATATTGTTCCCTACAACCTAATATGTACATGATCACACAGACAATCACACACACGCATACTTCCTCAAACACTATAAGAAAATTATGGATGGTACTTAACCCTACTGAATGTCTCGCCTCCCTTAATGAGTGGCTGTGGCCTGATCTGATAGCCATGTATGATTCCAGCACCTACGGATCCAGTGGAACTGGAGAGTAAACAGAATGTCAGTTCAGACGCCTCATATAAATGTCAATTTCCTAGTCAGCAGCTCATTTTCCTAGTCAGCAGCTCACTGCTGAGTGACATTTCAGACACTGAGATACACCCTATAGCTGTCAGCGATCATGCTCCTGTATCTTTAACCTTAATAAATAAGAAGGCCATTCCACCAATTAGAAACTGGAGATTTAATCCATCTTTGCTTAAAGATGGAGATTTTGCTAACTAATTCAAAAAAGACTGGGCTTTATACTTAGACTATAATGACCTGCCT